CCCCCCATACAAACCAGGGGGCCCCCATGGGGGCCCCACATACAAACCAGGGGGAAGCCAGGGGAGACCCATGATTCTGGGGGCCCCTTCAAACGGCCCCTGCAGGGCCCCATACAGGGGCCCCTAGAGGGCCCCTTGCCCCTTGAGGGGCCCCATAGAGGGGCCCCTAGAGGGGCCCCTAGAGGGCCCCATAGAGGGTCCCCTGGAGGGGCCCCTAGTGGGCCCATAGAGGGGCCCCTGGAGGGGCCCCATAGAGGGGCCCCATAGAGGGGCCCCATAGAGGGGCCCCTTGCCCCTTGAGGGGCCCCATAGAGGGGCCCCTAGAGGGGCCCCTAGAGGGGCCCCTTTAGGTGCCCTTTCCGCCTTAGAAAGAGACGAATTGCAGTTGACTGTTTTTCTTTTGTGATAGTTGATGGTTTTGTTTTGTTTTATTTTATTTTGTTTTGTTTTTAGGGTTTAGTGGTTTGGTTTATAATAAATAAATTAATAAGAAACGTTGCGTTAGAATGAAAAAGAAAAAAGAAAACGTTGCGGGGGGTTATGGCTGTACTTATGCCCCCCGTGAGGGGGTTTAGGGTTTAGGGTTTAGGGTTTAGGGTCTAGGGTCTAGGGTTTAGGGTTTAGGGTCTAGGGTTTAGGGTTTAGGTGTTGAAGGCCGTCTGCAGGTTCTCCCGCAGCTGAGCCGCAGACTTCTCCCTGTCAACCCGCCAGGCGTTCCGTGGCGCTGTCTCATCTGTGCGCATACAAACCCTAAACCCTAAACCCTAAACCCTAAACCCTGAAAGCGGAATACGTTGCAAACGGGAGGGTTTATCCTGTGTGACGGGGGTTTAGGGTTTAGGGTTTAGGGTTTGGGGCGGAATGAAGCAGGTAGGCGCATTTCGGCTTGTAGGGAGAGAGCAAGGTTTAGGGTTTGGAGGCGAGGGTTTAGGGTTTAGGGTTTAGGGTTTGCACGGCCTCTAGTTTATGGTTTCTAGTTGCAGGCGTTTTTAAGGTTTCGCGTTAAGGGTTTAGGATATGTAGGGTTTAGGGTTAGTAAGCCTTTGTGTTCCTGGTTTGTCGGAATTAGGGTTTAGGGTTTTAAGGGTTTAGGGTTTAGGGTTTAGGGTTTAGGGTTTACCGAAGAGCAGCGCATGCACCCCTGAGCCCCCCAGTATACTCTTGGGCATGAGCTGGTGTTGTCTCAGTCTCCTTTCTATCAGCAGCAAAGCAAAACCCTCATCGGCTACCTGCTGCAGCAGCTCGGGGTCGAGGGGCCTCCTGTTGAGGCTTTTGCTGCTGCGGTATCTGTGGGGGTCCCCCAAGGGGCCCCCAGGGGGGCCCCCAGGGGGGCCCCCATACCCAAGCACAGCCAGACGCAGCTGGTCAAGGGTTCGCCGCGTGCCTGTGGGGGCGCAGCAACAGCACAGACTAAACCCTAAACCCTAAACCCTAAACCCTAGGCCTGAGCTTGACTTAGTTACCCTGCTCGCTCCAAAACTCTGGCAACAGAAGGTCTAGGGTTTAGGGTTTAGGGTTTAGGGTTTAGGGTTAAGAGATTTGTTGGGGTTAGCGGAGGCCAAGCAAAGGAGACATACCAACTGAGAGGAGTTGAGTCTGCATCTCCCCCTCATCTGCTTCTTCTCCCGCGTGTTCCTGCTGCTGCTGCTGCTCTCCCTGCTGCTGCTGCTGCTGCTGCTGCTGCTGCTGCTGCTGCTGCTGCTGCTGCTTGATGATCTCTCTAAGCAGCCG